TCAGCACGGATCCTCTTCCACAAACGCCTTCAGTCAGTGTATCAATCTTCTCCGGGAGGCAACGAGGTTCATTTATGAGGCCGAAATTCCCCGAACAACGTAACGTATAACGTTAAAGTTAACGTTAGATTTGAATACCAGTGCATAATTTATTCTTTAGTTATACTAGTTCCGTATTCGTCATCGATATTGCGTGCCGTTTGCAGCGCATTGTTACCACGTCGGAGGAACTCAAAATGTATGAAAATAACACGAACATTCTTTGAGTCCATGTTTTTATAAATTTAATGCGGTTAAAAGCAGAACCCAAATAAACAAATGAAGTAACTTGATTTTGTAAAAGGAATAACATGCCCTAAATATAAAATTTAATTTATATTTATATTTAAGGCATTAATTTAATATATAATTTAGAATTTCAAGTCTATGTGCTAGTCACAGAAATCTAAATAATAGTACCAAAACAACCACCTATTTCATAAAGAAGAACCAATTATATTTTAATCAGTCATTTTCACGCTAGACACCTATACCTACCTATATTGTTCCTGTTCAGTCATTTTCATTATAGTCTACCAAATCTAAGAAATACATTTTGACAGCTGTCAGACTAATAGCAGCAAGCATGTGAACCAAAAAATCGGAACGTACACTATTCGATTCTTTAAAAAATCGATATCGATTACTTAGAGTTGGTAATCATTTACAGTTTGGTTTGAATAAAACCAGTAAATTTAAAACGGATAATTTAAAACACAAGATTTATCAGTTTCTACGTATTTGTTGTTACTGCTTACTTCTAGAGGCACAGTTATAAAAATTTAAGATTAAAACTAAATTAAAATTAATTTATTCAATCACTTTCAGTACAACTAGTTGAGCTGACGTTGTTTGATTTTCAATAATGCAGTCTAAATTAATGTCTCTTTAAAAGTCACAATATTTTTTTGGTTTTTTATACCACTTTTGCCTAATGATCCTTTGTGACATGGGCACATGCTTCAACAAATATAGAAGAAACAGTCTAAAAAGTGAAAGCCGAGTCACAAAATAAGAAGACAAACACAAAATCACAAAATTACGCACAGTAAACTCCAGAAATGGCAGGATATTGAAATTACGTAGTACAAGTTTTTATATTGCGGCCTTGTATATGAGTTTTTTGCCTACATAAATTTACGTTAACAAATTAAAAAAATGAACTTGTTTTATTCTTGATTCATATATAAAAATAAAAATTAAATTAAACAAGTATGTAATGCATTAAAAATTAATGATTCGATTATTTGAATATTTTTACCGATTATTTGAACACTTTTGCCGATTATTCGCATAACAACGAATTTTAATCATCCAAACACTACGGTAATGTACATAGCGACATATCATTGAAAGTACGTCAAGTACAAAAAGTTGATACTGGTTATTTTTTTTAATATTTTGCTTTGTTTGAAAGATTCAAATTTAAATTAGTAATAAAAAGCTATACACGTTGTAGTGAAATATAGATAACTTTATAATTCTTCGGATTTACGTAAATGGTTATTTTAAATGTTGTGAGTACGCTTGTGCAAAGTAATAGATAGCTAAATGATTAATGTGAAACGTCAACACGTATTTCTTAGATTTGGTTGACTATAAGTACTTGAAATATTAATGAAGATGCATTCTATTTAGCAAAGTCTAACTAAAGGCAGAATAAAGTCGGTTTTACGCTTTGATAAAAGTTTTTTTTTTTAAATTAGAAACGAAAATTTCTATCGTAGTCCGGGGGTGCCAATACATCTGCATTTTGATTCTTAATTGAGGATAGATTTTTATGGGCGACGGCATCCAATTACCATCACGTTGACTGTGTTCTGGTTTGTAACCCTTATTCTATAAAAAACACTATTTAACTATTCATAAACTTTGTTTTACGCAAGTATAAAGGACAATAAGCCTGTGAGCTGACATTACCCTTCTGTAGGTACAGAAAAGATGATTGGAATAATAGGCGTAGACCTTATTGTTTGTAGAATTAGGGCGATATTGTATGCCAGTACCTCGCGGCCGACTCGTGATCGCAATAACAATGAAGATATTACAGTAAACATCAATTCTTCATAGCTTAAGAACAGCTCAGGGCTACAGAGCTGATGAGCAACCTTGTTTCTAATAGAATGACATCCAATCTGTATATAGTAGACCGCATAAGTTCAAAATGGGTTGCAAATGGTTGCAAGAAATCTGTATCAATCGCAGGGTTTTGCGGTGAACGCAACTGCTTCCAGCCCACGCTTATTTTCCTACAGAGATTTCGCATTTCAGTAGGGTGAGTTACATTCCAGATGTTGCCGGAAGTTCGGGAGGCAAACAAACACCCAACCCACTTGATTGCAAGTGGATGTGGCCTATAGACATCACATCTATCCTCGATCAAAAATCAAAACGCCTTGTTACATCCGGTACTCGTCACTCACTAGCGTGGCTCTACTACGTAAAAAAATTACGCGAGCCATACACTAATCCTTAATTTACTCGCCTCCGATGTAAAGCAAAGCTATGCGATAACATCGGAAGTCGGCTTCAATGCAGTGTTACAATACAAGGATGTTAACAACATTAACTATATATCGATATTTAATAAAAATATATAGGGTGAGCATTATGAAATTTTTGTTTAAAAGAGATTTAATTTTTTGGTGTGTGGGACTTTGCCTATAAAAAAAAACGGAGTATCTAGACTACAAAAGCAATTTTTGCTTAATGCTGCTGGTATTTGAATCGTGAAGCCTCGCCTCTATTTTCAGATACTCGACCACTTTGCGATCATCTCGTAACGGTTTATTATGCTAAAAGAGTTCTTGTAAACATACGAGTAGATGAGTCCGTGAACGATCTAGATCTAACGTTACGAGGTAAGATGTTATTATTTTTTTTATCCCACACTCGTGTAGTAGAGACGTTTTACCTATTTGTACCGATTATTTGTAGACTATACGAATACTTCATCTGTGCAAAATTTAAACTCGCAGTCACGCAGCGATTCAACTAAATGCTTAGCTGCACTGTACTGAGCTACGGAGTCGTCCTTATGAAGTATTTTGATATAGTACAAAAAGCGAAAACCTTACTTTAAGACTCTTGATAACATTTAATGAGTTGTATCTGTCTGATTGCATAGGAAAGAAAGAGAAGCGCAAAGGCACAATGCTTTGACCTATTACAAAACATAAAACAGTTAAGTATATATTATAAGTAAGTTGGGTAATCAATAAAAAACGACAATCTTCTGTATTCGAATATATGATACATTATTGTTATCACCGTACGTCGATAAAGTTGTACCAGATATTTTTACTACAGAGGTTAATTTACTATTTTTACTTGTATCGAGAAAGTTTTTCAAAATAATTTTCTTAGATATATTGTTGAATTATGCGCAAAAACGCCGTTTGGGTCTTATAGGATTTTAATGTGTTACCTTTATGTTAATGTATTTTTTATGTGTTACCTCAAAAACATTTCTAGGTGAACCAATTTTAATGATTCTTTTTTATTTGAAGGCTGCTTCTCATATGGTCCCACATATGATTAAGATCTGACCAGTAGTTTTTGAGTTATCCTTAATAATGCGTATTTAATTAGCTTCATTGATGATGTTCTCATTTTATTTATATTGAAGTCGGTTGTACAAAATTTTTAATTTTATCACTTATTGCGATGTTGACTCTAATACAATGAAATAATTTAGTGGCTCTTTTTAATATTAAGTATTTAATATTAAAAAGAGTTATTTAGTTTATTTTATTACTCGGCTTGGTTTATCAGCCAGCATACCAGTGTGCACAAAATTTTTCGTTGTCAACGAGAGATAAAACTCTGTGAAGGACAGTTCCGTAATATGATTTTGATACATATTTAATTAATACATTTATAATCTTTAAAACTTTTACTTTTTACCCGATTAAGGCAAGGTCAAAAGCAGGGTTATCTTTGAGTAAGATGAGTATGTACGTTCATCTGGTCCCTCTGATCTCCTAAACTTTTCGTCGTATTTTGACATGAAGTTTCGTGGTCTTATGCATGTTGTATTAGGTATATAATAATATAATGTTATGATATAGGTAAGTATAACTTATGTAATTTAAATACCTATATAATTATTAATTATAGTTATGTAATAAATAAATTATGTCACATAAAATCCAACACTGCGGTATACAAAAAATAAGATTAAAATATCGTGTTTAATATTTTATGGAAGGACATTCCGAAAATATATAGTTTACATGTTGATTTTAGTAATAACGTGACTATATGAAAGCTGATATTATTTTTATTATAAATTACGTAATTTATATAATAAATTGTTATTTATAATAAAAATAACAACATCGCAGTCTTGTTTAATTTCTTTTAAAGGGCGTTTTTCATAGTAGGATTTAGTTTCCCACTTTCCTTTTTGTCAATTAACCTCTCCATGTTGTGGAGAGGGACTTTCGCTTTTACACGCATCTCCCAACAAATATCTCATAAGCGTAGCCTAGTTAGTTTATATGATAATTTTCATAGATCAAGCATTGGGATGTTATTGATTCTGTTGCTGTCAAATCACTTAGTTTCATTAAAAGTTGAAGTGAACCAATCAATTATCGATATAACCGTCAACATTAATGATGCCAAAACACATTTGCAGTGGCACTCTTGTGAACTCAAAATGTTAAAATTTATCCATGTTGAGTAAACATTAGTTTATTCTATATTCCAACGATTGCTCATAGTACTTTGCCCTCGGCGTGATAATGGCGTTGTTTACATTCACCTGCCACTGCCAGTTATACAGTGGTTCCCCTACTGTTGCCTTGCCTGTTGATTTTCTAATGGGCTTTTTATATAGCTTTGTAGAGGATTGAAAAACTTGATATACTAACGTTTATGATTTCGACGTTGTTACTATGGTAATATATGCAGATATTCTCAAATTAATATATTTTTCTTTTTTGTTATATTATCAGGATCGTGTGCTGAACATCACGAGTCAGATAATGGATCAGGTGCTGGGCGATGAGAGGGTTGCGCGTGGTTTCCGGGTCAAGTTCCCCGAGGACGTGCTGCAGGACAATCTGGCTGGTCAGCTGTGGTTTGGTGCTGAGGTAAATATAACTTAACTACGGTGATACGTGATTTTCAAAATACTTTCAATTATTACAGTGCCAGTAATTATGAAGTCTGTGTAAAGTATTTAAAAACTGGCCAGTGTTTGTAGCGATATCCTTTAGTTTGTTTAGTTGTAGTTTAGTTTAGTTGACAAAGAGTATGTAATTCACTATGCATACCATGGAGGTTAGAGAACAGGAGAACGATCGCTGTAGAAAATAGTGTCCCAGAAATATGGACAAAATAAGTGAGACGCTGCGATCGCTAAGTAGTCTTAATAAAAGCGGGCTGTTGTGCGCTAGTTTGAAATTATTATAATATCATTCGAAGAAAAAAAAAAAGAAAAAAACGAAATTATTATTATTTATTAATAAATAAATTATAAATTATGTTTTTCATTGATTTATTATTATTATTATATTTTATATTATTTCACCATTTAATAATGTTTCTTTTTGTCAATAATTAAAAATTACTTCGCAAAAACTACTTACCGACGGCAGCGCGGCTATAAATTATACAAATTTTCAGGGACAGGCAGGCTATGCTTTAGCACGTAGCGATCGTTCTCCTATTCTCTAACTTCCATGATGGATACGTTGTTGTTATATATCATCGGTTGAATATGCGTTACGCAGAGAGTTTTCCTTACACAATGACACCTTTGGTTTAGACCATTTAAACATTTGACGCATGGAGTGTAGAGGTAAGGAGAACCGTCTCTGACTCTGTACTAAAAAGTGTCCGTAGGAAAGCGATGAGTAAGGGTGGCGCTACTGTAGCTACAAGGTTAATTTTAAAGAACTTTTTATAACATTTTATTGCACAGACTTTTACCATAACACTTCACTCCAGTCGACAACAAATACTTAAATTCGTCGACAACTCAGCACACTTCACTCCGTCGACAACTACTAAGTTCATTTCATACCCTCTAGCTACTCCAGCACTGTTGTGGAGAGTTTTCGAACTGTTATTTACTGCTTACAGTTGGACATTTTTTTAACTATTCTCCTATGTGAGATTGTTCTCCTTACCTCTACACTCCATGAATTGACGTTTGTTTATTCGTCAGTCAACTCGAGTGAGGTCGCATCAGAACGTTAACCAATCACATCGCCCCATTCAATGCTATGTTCACGCACGTCAAAGAGTCCGTCGAGTATTGCTCATGAAATGAAATGCTAGTGCTAGGCTAGTTCAATAATAGCTTGCCATACCGAACGCACTAAGCAACATCTTACTAATCATAGTACGAGCACTACTTAAAAATAATGTTTGTGAATACGGGCATAATTGTCTTGGTTCATTATTTTTTATAGAAATCCGTTTCGTACAGAGCTATAGCAATAACTATTCACTGCTAGTAAAAGGGTATCTGGTTCTCGCTAGTAACCACAAGAAACAGCTGCATTATGCTGCTATTTGACACTGGTATTTTATTGCTGTCCTTCCCTGGTCAAGCCGGCTCATTTTGGGTTTTTGCAACCATAACACAGTCGCAACGTGGCTTAACTAAGTACAACAAAATAGTTTTCCCTAGATCCTGTTTGTTCATACCACCTATTTATTCGTTTACATTTTTTTTGTGTGGGATTAAAAAGAAAACCTGTTCAATTATATTTCTATAAATTTCCAGTGCTTAGCTGCTGGTTCTTCTATAATGAATCGTGAGGAGGAGTCGGCGGCGATGCGTCCCCTCGCGAAGGCCCTCACTCGCAGTTTGGAGACTGTGCGTTCTCTACTAAGGGAGCAGTGTTTGAGGCCGAGGGGACTCGCATTGTCCCAACATGACGACATGTTGCACGAGAGCTTACGTATTTTCGATAGGTATGTATTTAATTAAGTTAAAACCGATATTTATTCTTCTTTACCTAAATGTAAATCCACATATAGATTATATATATTAAGTTACAGCAATTCACTACGCACGTTAAAAAGCGCAAGGTGAATGCAGTGGCGAAGTAGGGCAAGCCCGAGATATGATTTTGTTGTTTTTAGCAGTTTTATAAAAATACTCCAATGTTGATTTGTCTCCACTCTTCAGTTTCATATTCAGTGCTGTCAAGGACGTGTTTAACAAAGCACACAGAAGGCATACTACCGCTAGATAGATTGTATGCCTTCGGTGGCTTTGAAAAGAGCCGTTTGGGTTTGCTTAAGCGAAAGAAAAAGATATTTACATACAATACAATACATGAACAAAGTACAAACAAACTATGTACAAAATTAAAAAGGGACGCCTGGCAGATGTGAAACATCGAAATTATTTTGTTTAATTTATATGCATAGAAGAACAGATTACGGCACGAATTGAATATGGTTATATTAATATTTATATTACTATGTTTTTAACTCATATGGTAATATAAATAATATAAAAAAAATTAAATTATTAAATTAGCCGACAGCGTGTTTGTGCCATCTAGCGAGTGATAGTGATAGTGCGAGAGAGACGAATAAATCAACTCCTTATTTTGACAGTCCATTGCGTGTTCGCTTTGAGGCAGAGAGAACACGAATTAGTGTATTTCGAATTGAAAGAAAACCGCCAAGTGTTGACGTTACATATATGCTAAGAGGTCATGACCTGTCTAGAACAGAGGAGCGCGCGGGAATTTTGAAACAGTTTACTGTAAATTGATTGAGCAGTTTGATAGGGCAAGCCCGGTTTCTGGGCTTCTATGGAGTCTTCGCCACCGGGTGAATGTCACTGGGAATGCTGCTACCATCACCAGCGTGTATCCATATAAGTTTAACTTCTTTTTTATAGAAGGGGGCAAACGAGCATGCGGCTGATCTGATGGTAAGTGACTGCCGCCGCCCATGATCAACCGCAACACCAGGGGAATTCGTGTGCGTTGCCGGATTTTTAGAAAGGAGGGAAAGGCTCTTTTATTGAAGGTCCCTAAGTCGTATCGGTCTGGAAAAATCGCCGGTGGTAAACAATTCCACAGAGAAGTACGAGGAAGAAAAATCCTAGTAAAAAGCACATTGGTGGATCACCAAGCATCCAGATGGTGAGAATCGTATCATGAATTTTGACGCGATGCGCGTTCGTGTTTGACGGCTGGAACTAATCCGAACAATTCCTCAGAGCACTCCCCGTGGCAGATGCGATAGAAAATGCAAAGGGATGCAACATCCCTGCAGTGCTAGTGAATCGAGCTGATCAGAAAGAACTCGGTCGATTCGAACCGCTCTGCTCTGGATGCGGTCAAGTGGAACCCCAGCTGGAACTGGGGTGCCCCGGCCCAGAGATTAGAATAGTATTCCATGTGAGGCCGAACTTGCGTTATAAAGTTGCAAGCGATGTACCGGCATGAAATACTGTCTCGCTCTGCTGAGCAAGCCAAGCTTTTTAGAGGCTAATTTGGCCTTCCCCTCCAAGTGACCACGAAACTGCACACTATCCGATATGTCGGCGCCGAGGATTCCGATGCTTGCTGAGGTAGCAAAGAGAGTGCCTTGACACTGAGTAGATACGACAAAGGGGTTCTTTATTTTTCGATAAACGCGCAAACTTGTTCTTCTGGGGATTGTACTGGATTAGATTTAGTCGCCCACAATCCGAGACTTTGTTCAGCAAAGACTCAACTTTAGACACAAGTTTGTCCCGGTACTCGGGGAAGAATTCCCGAGAAATATTGGCACGGCCGGTGTATAGAGCATCACCAGTGTTGTCGCCTGCATAGCTATGAATGATACCAGTTTGCTACATATCATTGATATGCAGAAGAAACAGCGTAGGTGATAGCACGCAGACTTGTGTAACACCAGCGTTAATAGGCTTGTAATCGGAGCGTACACCGTCTACTACGACCTTTATGCTGCGATCAGTAAGGAAACTGGTAATCCAATTACATAATTTCTCGGGAAATTCATAGGGAGGGAGCTTCGAAAGAAGCACTTTGTGCCAGACCCGACCGAAGGCCTTCACATGTCCAAACTAACTACGTCGTTTTTTTTTTATAGGATAAGGGTGATAAACAGGCACAGTCCTCCTGATGTAAGTGGATGCTGTGACCCATAGACATCTACATTTAACCTCGATTAAGAATCAAATGCAGATGCTTTGTAACCCTTGAGGACTAAGATGGAATATCTCGATTCCAGTAAAAGGGGTCTCCGGTTCTCTACACTCACCGACGACGAATACAGCAGCATTAAGCTGCTATTTTACGCTGGTATTCTGTAAGAGCGTGGTCCTTCCCCGGCCGAGCCGACCCATTCATGCTACAACCATAATAGCTGCAGCGTGGCTCTACCACGTGTAGATAGGATTCATTTTCTGCCAAGAAGTTCTGGGTAGGTAGCACCCTCTTACGTTTTTCTGCTGCCAAATAGCAGTGTTTGCACTGATGTATGTGTTCCGTTCCGAAAAATAAATCCAAAAAATACAAGTAGAATTACAAGCCGTGTGAGGCATTCCATTTTAGTTCTCTGAGGTATCGGTAACGCAAGTGTAGTCTTCTGTGTGTGAAGTGGACTGCAAGTGTACATGGACTACACTAGCCACTTACCATCAGGTGGACTGTTAGTACGTTTGACACCATATTTTCCTGGAAAAAAATAGTTTCGATGAATATGCCTCCATTCATCTGTCACTCACTAGTGCCTTGTTCGATAAATGTGATATTATACTCTGTGCGGGTAAGATTGGCACTTAAGAAGAAGATATATGTCTTATACTCCCCTGTAATGTACAATTTCAGCCTTTCTGTGACTGTATAAACTATTATAAATAGAAAATAGTTATAATAGTTATAGGACATCTGTGTCTACCACTGCGTTACAGCGTATAAGAATTGAGAGGTTACAAGATGAAGATGTGAAAGACAAGTACAAATGCAGACTGAGAGAAAATATAAGTAATTTGGATGAGTTGTGTGTGAATGAGTTAGACTTGGAGAATGTGTGGCATAATGTTAAGAAAGGTTTAGTGGATGCAGCTACCGAATTATGTGGTGTTAGTAAGAGAACGAATGAAAGGAAAGACAATACGAGGTGGGATGATGAGGTATGGAAGTTGAAGCAAAGAAGAGAGCATAGCTAGATTTACTAGCGACCAAAGCTGGTAATTCTGGCGGTAAGAATGATGAGAATGAAAGAAAAAAGGCAGAGTTTAAACGTTTAAATAAGAGAGTAAAAGAATTAGTTGAAAGGAAAAAGCAAGAAAGAACGGATAAGAATGATAGAAGAATATCGGATAACTTCCAGGCAAATATTAAAATGTTCTGGAAACTCGTAAGAAATACCAGGGGACTTTTAAAACAGCCTAGATTGAATGCGATACGAGACGAGAATGGCTGTATTCTCAATGATGAAGTGTTGAGTCTAAAGAGATGGAAGGATTATTTTGAAAGCGTATTTATGAGTGAGGAGAAGTGTGAACTAAATGAAATAGAAATTCCGAAAAAAGATGAAAGGAGATAGGGAGATAAGTATAGATGAAATAATGAAAGCAATGAAAAGCATGAAAGTAGGTAAGGCAGCCGGATATGATAGAGTTTCACTCGAAATGCTAAGGGCTGGAGAGGACGTGGTGGCAGGCCTGCTGTACACCTTGTTTAATTTATGTTGGGAACTAAAGCGGGTACCGGGAGACTGGTACAAAGCCGTGATAGTCCCAATATATAAGGGAAAAGGGTCACAGCAGGACTGTAAAAACTACCGTGGTATCAGCCTTCTTAGCATTGTAGGAAAACTGTATGCTAAGGTACTAATTGAAAGAGTTATGAAAGAAAGTGATGAAAAAATTTGGGATGGGCAAGCGGGATTTAGAAAGAGAATGGGGTGTACAGATCAAGTCTTTTCCATGCGCATGATCGCGGAGAAGTTTTTGGCGAAAAACCAAAAAGTTTTTTGTGCGTTCATGGACTTGGAAAAGGCTTATGACAGAGTGGACAGGGATGTGTTATGGCAAACGCTGAACGCATTTAGGTTGAGCGCTAGTTTGATACAGGCATTAAAGTCTCTGTATAGGGACTCGAGTGCTTGTGTTAGAATCAACGGGGTCTACTCGGACTGGTTTGGCATCCATAAAGGTGTCAGACAGGGCTGCGTAGCTTCCCCGTGGCTGTTCAACCTATTTATGGACAGCTGTTTGGAAAATTTGAAAGTTGAAGAATGCGGGTTAAGAATGGGTGAGTTAACCATCAAATGCCTTTTGTACGCCCGATGATCAAGTCATACTTGCGTCGTCGGCGGCCGAGTTGCAAATGATGGTTACATTAATGAACAGGTCATTAAAAGAAAGGGGAATGAAAGTGAACGCAAGTAAGACTAAAGTGATGGTTTTGGAAAGAGAAGAAAGCAAAACGGTGAAAGCAAAAAATGTGAAATAAGAACAGAAGGAGTTAATTGAGCAAGTGGATGAGTTCGTATATTTGGGATGTGTATTCAGCAGGCATGGGAGATATGATAAGGATATTGAACGACGAGTGAATGCAGGAAATAAAGTAAATGGGGCTCTACACTCTATTGTGAAAAGTCAGAATGTGTCAAAAAAGGCCCGTATGGCAATTCACAGTGCTGTATTAATCCCTACTTTTTACGTATGGTAGTGAAAGTTGGGTGTGGCAGAAGAAGCACGAGAGTAGAATAAATGCAGTAGAAAGGCGGTCGCTAAGGAGTATGTTAGGGCTGAATCTGAGTGACAGGGTGAGAAACTGTGTGATAAAAGAAGAGTGTGGTTTGCAAGATGATGCGGTGACCAGGATTAAGAAAGGAATGCTTCGGTGGTTTGGTCATGTAGAAAGAATGAATGCGGAAAGACTGACAAAGCAAATATATGGTGCAGAAGTGAATGGAAGAGTCGGAAAGGGACGTCCTAGGCGGAAGTTTGTCGACCAAATTGGCGATATACTAAAAATGGGCCAAATTAAGAGTACCCTTAACCGACGAGCATGTATGCGTAGGTATATGGATGTGGAAGAGGCGAGAAAGGTATGTCAGGATCGTGCTAAATGGAAGTCTGTAGTCTGTGCCTACCCCTCTGGGTGACAGGCGTGAGTGTTTTTATATATATAATAGTTATACTATATTGTGACTAAAAGGAGAAAATATCAAGCTTGAAGTAACACCATACGAAACACGCTACTGTGTTTCGTATGGTGTCTCGAGAATGGGTGACCATTTTAACTGGTAACTGGAATTTTATATTATCCCTCAGGGATGACGACGTATCTGCTTTTAGATTCTTAATCGAAGTTAGATATAGGTGTCTATGGACCACAACATCCAGTTACCATCAGGTGGAATGTGCGCCCGTTTGTCACTCTTAATTCTGCATATATCTTTGAAAATATAACAGGTCGGCGAAACAGTTTTCTTTTTGTATTTTGTATGTGTATAAAATTTATGAGATATCGGTTTGATTGTACTGTTTGGCTGGTTTTAATATTAATACATATAAGACCTTAAGAAAAATAAAAAGTAAAAATACTTTCCCGCCATTTTTTAATTGTTTTTCTGTCAGCCAAAATGAGTGAATCCGACGAAGAAATTCGATACATTCTGAAGAAGTTTTATTACAAAAAAAAGGGGAAAATACCACTTAAGCCGCCAACAAAACTACGTTTTTGTGACGTTTATGGAACTAATGCAGTGTCAGTAAGAGTCGTAGACAGAGAAACCTATAGACAAATTGACGCCTTCTTTCGCATTCGCACACGAAAAATATAGATTTATGCATATGTCTTGCATAGAAATGAGTCAGAGCGGTGTGATTTTTTGTCCCTTTCTCCGTGCCGGTTTTTTTATTTAGTAAACTACACTTTGCTAAACAACTTTGACAGTTCATAGCGATCTAAGGAGTTTACAGGTTGTTTTAAGTGAGAAAAAAGTGTTTTGTGAGCAGATTGGCGAATCTTGTTCAGTTCAGTTCTTAGAACAATTAAAAATGTTTTAAAAGTCATAAAGATTGTTGTATAACCTAAAACTACGTTATCGTCCTTTCTCACTCGAGGCCACGCTAATCATAAGTCTATAGGTTTCTCTGTCTACGGTAAGAGTAGTATAAAGTTAGTTCGAACATTATCAGTCCGAGAATTTCAATGTCAAAGATTCAGCACGCTCTGGTCGTCCTCACACGGATAAAGTCAATGCCATTTTTGAATAAGTGGGGCAGAATCGGCATATTAGTAGTTACGACATAACCGAGGAATTGAGGATTGACCATAAAACTGTTTCGACCTATTTAAAAAAGTCTGGTTATACGAAAAAGCTCGATATTTGGGTACCACAGGAACTCACTGAAAGAAACGTAATCTCATTTGAGATTCTCTTTCGAAAGGTAATGAAACCGAACCATTTTTTTAAAATATTAATCACTGGTGATGAAAAGTGGATCACCAACCACAAAAACTTGCTAAATATATCATGGTCATAGGGAAGTCAAGCTCCACAGACTATAGCGAAATAAGGCAATACTGTGTGTATGGTGGGATTGAGGAAGGGCATCTTTTATTACGATCTTTTACCGCCAGACAAAACCATCGATTCGGATCTCTACTGCCAACAAGTAATGAGACTCAAACAAGAAATTGAGAAAAAACGGTCGGAATTGATCAACAGAAAAGGAGTGTTTTTATTATCATGATAACGCCAGGCCACACACATCTTTGGCCATTCAACCAAAATTGAGGAAAGCTTGGTTGGGAAGTGTTAAGGGGAAATATAATGTCAAATGGCTTAGCAAGATCCTTCGTTATGCCGAAAATATTGCAGCATTAATTTTGAAATAAATATGTGGTAAAGTTGAGGATTAATGTTAATGATTATGTTAGACGAAAACACGATTTTGTAAAATTTTCTTGATAGAAAAAAAATCCAAAGTTACCTCCAAAATAAACAATAAACCGCTGTTATTCATAAAATACTTTAAATAAGATCATGAAACTTTGCATACTAACTGAACTAACTATAAAGCAGTGCTTATGTTATTTACTTTTTTAAAATACCATTATTTTCACTGTAAAAAAGAAATTACCTAAACTATCGGCGTCTTGAGCTTGATTCCTGTCGCCCGTTAGTATCGCTTAGGCTTTTGAAGGGAGAAGTTGTGTCGCTTACGATCAGAATATACATTACGCAACAGTACGACGTAAAATTAAAATGGGAAATAACCGTGATAAAAATAAGAAGCGGCTGACTTGGCGTTAAGAAACAGGCATAAATATGATAAACCTAATGAAATAAGTATCTAACGACCTTTCTACTTACAGTATTAGTGATTACAAACATATCGGTACATAGCATACGACGCGCGGGTAAGTGGGGGCGAAATTAGAATTTGAGCTGACTTACTCTATCCTCTTAATGCATCCACCATTTAGTCCTGATCTTACACTCTCAGATTTTCACCTGTTTCTGTCTCTTCAGAATTCTTTGAGTAGTGTTAGGTTAACATCATGTGCGGACTGTCAAAACTACTTGTTGCATTTTTTTTTATTCAAAGTCCTAAGATTTTTACACTACACAATATAAAGTCCTGCATTTGTTGACCTTCGTTGTGGTAATTGTCATAGTGTGAACAAAGGTTATGCTGAGGTGAAATTGTAACACAGGGTGTGTTACAATCGCGATTAGCCATATCTTTTGATTTACATTCGTATTAACCTCTTATTGTGTTCTATGAATGTTTTTATAAAACTATTGTAATTGTTACTGAGTTGCTTGGATTGGCGATTGAAGTACCGATCATAAGTAAGAATTAAATAAATGGCTGTGTTTGGCAGAAAAAAGCGCTAGGAAGCGCTTGTAAGCAAAATGGCGAAACTATACAGTTTTCGGCCGAGACACGTGTGCTAACTTCAGTAGTACTGACACAATCCGCCATTTTGTTTGTTTTGAAGTAGTTTATAAGTTCTTTTGTACAATTAGTTTCAAGTTAAGACATGAATAAACATATTATACATTTTATTAAAAATTCGTGATTGGTAAGTTTTTAATATGAATACTTTACAAACATATATTTAAATTAGGTTAGGTTCCCCGGTTAAAGCTAACTTAGTGTCCTGGAGGAAAATAACTATTTACCATTTGACAGCGCTTAGTGCTTACGATCGCCATTTTGCTTACAAGCGCTTCCTAACACTTTTTTATGCCAAACGCAGCCAATAAAAGTGTGTATTCTTAATATATGTTTATATTAAGAATACACACTGTCATTGGCTGCGTTAGCTGCGTTATGGTTAACTGGTGTATGTGATGTGTTCTTTACGTGGTAGAGCCATACTGGAGCTATATTGCCAGTAGTATAGTTGTAGCACGAATGGGTCGGCTCGACCGGGGAAGGACCACGCTCTCACAGAATACCAGCGTAATATAGTAGCTTAATACTGCTGTGTTTCATATGGTGAGTGTAGAGAACCGGAGACCCTTTTTACTGGAAGAGGCATTCCATCTTAGTCCTCAAGGCTGACAACGCATCTTCATTTTGATCCCCAAACGTGGATGATGCAGATGTTTATGGGCCGCAGCAACCAATTACTATCAGGTGGACTGTGTGATCGTTTGTCATCATTATCCCATAAAAAAAATCGCTTGAAAAGTACCTTCTTTCCTCCAACAATCACTTGCAAAGTGCACTGCCCCTACTAAATCGAAAAAATCCAGAGCACTAATGCTCCATTTATACATTACAAATTATCATAAGTTGACTGCTAAACATAGGCCTGTATTTGCCATAATTGGCACAGTTTGTCCATCGCAGCTTTGTATTATGTTGAGTTGTTTTAGGAAGATGCTGCTGCCCATTTCCTGTTTCATTTTCATTTGTCACCTCTTACGATATCCACTGAATGTTTGGCGGATGATTTCTTTTATTAACTGGCTTTACGGCTCTGGGTTCTAGCCCTTCTGAGAAACTAGCTATTAAGACCGATTTACACTTCGACAAGTACAGTAGCGAGTTTAGTTACAAGGCAGTTGACAGTGAACGGTTAAGTGGGCAGTAACGTTCAAACAATGTCTTCGTGGCGAGTTTAGTTAAGGACATTAGTTCATAGAGTTTATGACGTTTCAAGACTACAGAATTTTTATGGTTTTCGTTTAAGATGGTTCTAGGATTACGTCAAGACTTAAATGATCCAGTCAGAGAAGTATTAATGGTTGTTGTTAAAGAAGTTTTTAATAATTTTCATGAGTGCAGCATCTCGAGCAGGTTTAATTTTACAATTTGAACTTCTACTATTATTTAAACATTCGTATTCTAGATACTACTGATTCAACAAATTTATACGTGATATCTTCCGTCCATTTTAATTCACAATATAAAGCGTATAAATATTCAATAATCGGTCTCGTACAAACTTTGTGGCGAGTTTATTTATAAAAGTACAATTGTACGTTTTGGTGCGCAAACGTTGCGTCCTATCAACTTATGCACTGAACTAAACTTGCTCTTTTACACGAACGGCGAGTTTAGTTGCGGGTGGCGGAAGACGCGTGGGATGACAGCACTTCGCACTTAACTCGCCGAAAAATAGCTCGGCCGGCTATCCCGTTCAATTTAATCGTTAACTTGCTACTTAACTCGCTTATTGCCGTTCAAACGAGGTTCAAACTTAACTCGCCAGGTTCGCAAGTTATGCGAGATAACTTGCGAACCTGGCGAGTTAAGTTGTCGAAGTGTAAATCGGTCTTTAGGGGGATGAGGAGGACACTATGTGTAGTGAATACTATTACGCCGCCACAACACTCAATACTTATTAATTTTTTTCAGATTGTTCGCCGAGTTTGAATTGTGCTACGTGAGTGCTATGGTCAACGTGAAAACCCCACACGAGTTCGAAGCCCAGCAGCTGATCTGTGTCCTCTTTTCGGAGAGTCTTCGTCGAGCGCTCAAGCAAGGATTGCTCACCCAGGAACAGGTAATGTTATGGAAACTTATGGTTTCCACCTAAATTGTTTATAGCCTTGGGTTACAAACGAGCACACAGTCCATGTGATGTTAAGTGGATGTTGTGGTCCATAGACATCCACATTTATCCTTAATTAAGAATCAAAATGCAAATGCGTTGTCACCCCTGAGGACTAAGATGGATGCCTCGATTCCAGTTAAAAGGGTCTCCGGTTCTCTATACTCACCATACGAAACACAGCAGCATTTCGCTGCTATTTGACGCTGGTATTCTGTGAGAGCGTGGTCCTGCCCCGCTCGAGCCGACCCATTCGTGCTACAACTATAATATAGTTGCAGCATCGCACTACCACGTCAAAAATATACTGTTGTCGTCATTTTTTTATATTTAAACAACAAAGGAGCTAGCAGTCTATTTCGTTGTAAGTGGCTGGCCTATGGATATGTGCAAAACAGAGCATGGCTTAAAAATCTCCTAGTAAAAATTTGAACTAGTAACATTTACTGGAATACACTGCATGTGACTAAAAGGCTAATAAATCCAAGTTCCACAGGCTTGATAGGAAGCTGCATTATAACAAGGAGAGTATTTGTTATATGCCTATTTACCCAGTGTGGTGAGGTGAGCAAATGTGAACAGTTTCATGCTAGTTCGCAAATTTTTAGACATTAACTAGTAGTGGATAGTGAAAGGCTGTCAAAGAAAGGAGAGACGTCTAATACAGCAAATCTTAAAATTATACAAAAAATGACAATATTATTTATTATATACTTTATTGTACACCACAAAACTATAAAAAAAGTAAACAGATTACAGAAAGTAATATTTAAGAGGTAAATACAATAAGGCGGTCTTATCGCTAAAAAGCGATCTCTTCCAGACAACCTTAAGATTTGGAGAAAATTGTACGATTGGACAGTTGGAGAGGGTGTATATTATTACAAACTTACATACTAATACATAAATAATGTAAACTGATACATAATAACAAAATATTTTATACACTATACGATAAAAACATGATAGACTTACATAATAATAAATAGGCAAATATATGTATAATTTACATAAATACAGACAGGATACAAAAATTAAATGTCGCAAATGATGACCAATGATTACTGCAGAGTTAGGTAGTGATTTTTGACGTCAGTCTTAAACTTATCTAGTGTATTCATTCACTCGACGAATTTGCAGAGAAAGATTAAGAATATTACTGTGTACTTACTCCTTTACTTTTGGGTTCATCAGGGTAGGTGCCATCCTCTTACCTACTTCTGACGCCAAGCGGCAGTACGCGCACTGCTGTATACCAGTCTGAAGGGTTTAGATACCCAGCTTATATGTGCTGTAAGGCACTCCATTTTAGTCCTCTCAGGTGGTAACGCATTTCTTTATAGGATAATGGTGATAAACGAGCACACAGTCCACCTGTTGGTAAGTGGATGCTGTAGCCCATAGAAGTCTACATTTAACCTTGATTAAAAATCAAAATGCAGGATGCGTTGTCACCCTTGAGGACTAAGATGGAATGCCTTGATTCTAGTAAAACGGGTCTCCGGTTCCCTACACTCATCATACGAAACACAGCACCACTAAGCTGCTATTTTATTTTATTTTTTAAGAGCGTGGTCCTTCCCTGTTCGAGCCGAACCATTCATGCTACAACCGTAATAGCTGCAGCGTGGTTCTACCATGTGGCTCTGTCTACTTTATTTAAAATTTGTTTCTGCCAGTTATCATCAGGTGACTGCCTTGTTGGTTTAGTGTTCGTAGACGCGAATGCTGATCGTGTGGTCCCGGATTCAAATTCTGGGACGGGTAAAAATCGGTTATTGGGGGTTTTTCTATCAAGAAATTCTCAGTATCAGCCCGGAGTAAGGAAATTAGCAGTGTTTCATTCACCCCCCGTGAGAACATGTTAAGCCGTTGGTACTGCGCTTGATCTCTCTCCGGTCGTGTCGGATTATGGTCTCACCGGACTACCGTGTGAGGGAATAGAGAGTGCACCTGTGCTTGTGCATAGACTCAAGCACTATAATCGTGTCCTGCGCAGATGACTAGTCTTCGTTTGAAATTATTATCATCAGGTAGATAAGTTTACTTATCAATTTATTTTTATAAAAAAAGAAAGATGTGCCTAGTACAACAAATTGTGATGATAACAGAAAATCTTGCACCTCAAGATAGAATGCCGTGTCCAGTAACAGTCGCTAGTACATACTAACTGTAATACATATAACTGCATACTCAATTTATTTGATTTAATGATTTTTTACAGGTTGACTCTTACGATCCCGCTTTGATGTTTGCCGTTCCCCGGTTGGCTATAGTTAGCGGTCTGCTCATCTACTCAAGTGGTCCGTTGAGCATTGACAAACCGCCAGGTATTATTTATTTTAATTTTGTTGGTCAAGACTAGAATATAACAAAGGCTGTTGTAGCTTATGATACAATAAACGAAAATTCGGTCATTACTAGTTCTATAAAGTATTTTAAAAGAGTTACAGTACAATATTGTAGTGTAAAGTAACAGGCCAGTATTGCAATAAGTTAAATTTTGAAACAACATGAAATGTAATATTATTTAAAAACATGAGTGTCTTTTTACCTCTTAAAGGAGCCCGCTCACCCTGGCTCCTATTCTTCGGAATGTGTCTTTGGAGTTATGTTTTAAGGACTCTGGCAATGTCTTTAAAAATTCCAAAGATTCCGCCAATTCATTTTAAAGTAGCGTCCCGGACACTTTCTGCTTCGTAACGCTGTCAGAAATGATAATGTGCCCAGCAATAAAACACAACATGGAGGTTGAAAAATATACTTTTACTTATTACTTTATTGTTACGAGCTTAGGGTTCGTAACAATAAAGACTGGCGATTGAATTACTAAAATTGATACTTTAATTACTGAACACCAATTAAAACTTAAAATACACTGCTAATTAATCACACTTAACACTTCAGTTTACTTTATTTCGCTCCGAAGTCTTCGCTTGTGTCGCCAATTCAATATGATGATTGACGCCAAATATGCCTTTTTCACCGAAACATCTAGAATGTTCCAGCAAATACCGATCCCGACCGACTAGATGTAGAAAATTCGAGTGTGGAATTATCTAGAAAGCTTAGTTCTTCTATGCAATAATAGATGGCGCTAGTGCCATGTACCAGACATCAACTGTGGCGTGCAACATTATTATTACTATCATGAACTAATTTACATTTATTATTTTTCAGAAGAAATGTCAGACATGTTCCGTCCATTTCGAACGCTTCTACATAAAATACGCTCTCTCCTGTGGACGTTGGATCGGCGTGAGTTGATGGCTTTGGAGAGATTGCTTTGCACTAATGAGGACATCTCAAACTTGGCTGGATTGGACTTGCCTCAAAGTGAGTAGTAAACAAAGATATTTAAGAAATAACAGCCACTGTGACATTTCAAACCCTGAGCTACCACGCTAAAACATGAATTAATGCTTTTCTAATTAATAAAATAATTTAAAAGTTCCATGTCGTTAATGTTAGTAAAAAAAGGCTGTGTAGAGTTCTTTGTTTTTAGTTTTAATTTAAACAAGAGAACTAGTCTGGCCATAAATACTGTTACATAAATACTTTTCTTTTTTTTTTTCGACTTTTTAATTATTTTGAATTTGGAACGCGTTCATTATTTTTAAAAGTTCTTTAGATTTCGCGCCATTTCACATATTTTTTTCGTTTTCATTATAAAATTACAATATGGAATGGGCTGTTAAAGAAAATAGGATTGCGGTGATCACCTTATACAAAGTGGGTATGGAGCCGTCGGTTATATTCCAGGCACTTCAAAAGCTTGGTATCAGCCGTATGTTTGTATATCGTACTATCAACGGATACAACAACACTTCCTCTATCGAAGTCCATAAAAGATCGGTGCGGCCGCGTGCTGTTAGAACTACAAAAGCTGTTAATGCTGTTAAAGCCAGAATTAGTCGAAAGTCATTAGGAAGCAAATAATCTTATCGTCAGAAATGAAGATTCCCGCTAGGACTCTGTCGCGTATTATAAAACAAGACCTGAAGCTCGGTGCTTATCGTCGATATACAGGACATGCCCTAATCAATCTTTACAATTAAAGAGAGTGGATTGATCAAAACGCCTTCTATCGAGATACGCAGGTGAAGGGCACAGAAATATCCTCTTTACCGATGAAAACATGATTTAAGAGCACTAAAATAAGCAAAATGATAAAGTGTACGCTCATAGTTCTAAAGAAGCTGCTCAAGTGGTGGGAAAGGTACAACGTGGTCATCATCCTGCGTCAGTGATGGTTTGGTGGGGCGTGTCTTATCAAGGCGTTACAAAGCTACATTTTTGTGAAAAAGGAGTGAAAACTTCAGCCAAAGTGTATCAAGAGGCAGCCTTGGATCGTGTTGAGAAACCTCTCAGCAGTACACCTTTTAAAAATGTACGTGGTCACAAGGCACGAACTACTCAAGCCTGGCTTGAAACCAACGTTTCGGACTTTATAAGAGCTTGAAGACTGGCCCTCATCTAGCCATGACCTCAACACTAGACTAAAAATTATGGGCAGTTTTAGAGGACATGGCTTGCTCTAAACGACACGGCGACATCGAGTCTCTTAAAAAATCTCTGGAGCAAGCAGTGGCGAAATTTCCCATGGAAAAAGTGCGTAAATCCATAGATTCGTGGCCAGACTGATTAAAGGCCTGTATAAAAACCAAAGGTGGCCATTTTGAATAGAATATTGTTTTTATTTTTTGCTTTTATAAATATATACATATAGTTAGTTTTAGTAATATTAAATTACTTCATTAAAAAATGCATTTTCTTTTGTAACAGAACTTATGGCCGGACTAAGTATTTATGACATGTACAATTTTACATATGGGATGGTTCAGATTTCACTAAATTTTTGATTATTGTTTTTTCCAGCTGTGGAGACGACATCTGACTCAGCTTGCCACTATCCTGACATCGGAGAGTTCGTATCGAAGTTCTATGCCGACCATGCACACTGCCGTGATCTCTATACCACACAAAGGTTAGCATTTCATATTAGTTCGAAAGTAGAGGTTTCTGTATATGATATGAATGAATAATTATTTAATCAAGTGTCTTAATATAGATTCGTAATTTTTTCTATTGATTATATTTGTTTTCAGCTCCAGCGAACCAACTATTACGGATGGTGACTACCTACCAGACAATATAGAAGTTATGACCCCAATTATAGATGGATTGAGACGACTCACAGAAGATAGTGAAACTACACAAACGGATGATGAGACTGTCGATACAAGGCCTAACGAGTTCTCCCGCCATTGCTCAACCGACACTACTAGCACTGATACATTCCAAACCAATGATAGCAGAGATATTTTAGAAAAATCTAGAAGGACGAGCAGAACTGAAAGCAACGATCTAGCATCATTAAGAAACCTATCCACGAATGGTTTAATGATGTTCGATCCGCTAGTCATAAACGCTGTGTCCGCCTCTACCTCTGCTGAATCAAATCGACAAATGCCAGACCATGATTTAGTCACTTCGCTAAACGAACAAGTTACAGAAATAGCTGATAGACTATCATCGATAGTAGCCAGTGATGTTGATATAATGGATCACAATCAGATGCATTCGTTCTCAACGAACGACGTGACGACTCTAATATCGACTGAGAATTCCGAAGCGTTCGGGTTTCCCGGACCCAGGAATGAGCAATTAAGTTGCATGCCGTCTACTAGTCACGGGTATCTCATACCTAACGCGATAAGTCAAGAGCCTGTCGTATTAGCGTCCCTATCACACAACAACTCCGCAGTTTTCAACCAGGAAGAAGAACATGATATCAACGGTGCAATACTGAACACGGATCTCCCGCTAATGATGCCCGATGACATTGACGCTGAAATTGTAAATACTAACATATGTATCGCGAACGCTAATCTAAGTTCTCTATTGCTCACCAGCGACGAATACAGGCAGAACTTTGTCGATAACAACGAAGTGGTCGACGGCGATAACGCGAGCTTTCATTCAGCTAAGATGACGATGGAGAAAGATGACGAGGAAAGAGTAAAGTTCATGCTGGGTTATGAAAGCGATCACGATTCGCCAGCGGATTCTGGTGTTAGTACCGAAAACACGAGTCTGGATAGATCACCAGACACTGAACAGGGCAAACAGAGTCATTTCATGCAACAGAACAGGGTATTGAAAAATCCAGACTGTGATGGAACTGATAAGAATAACACTCTAGAAAGTTCCTTTTCGAATGCTGATGACGTTACTGTAAATATTAAATATGTTGAATCTGAAACTCAGAAGAATGAAGCGGGATCCTCTTCTCATATAATGGACAATGTAGATATAGATAGAATAAGCTCAGAGGAAGAAGGTCTTAATGAAGCGACAAATGTAAATTATCCTAAAAAGATTAACTGGGAGAACACACAAGAAGACGATTATAGAACGATAGACGAAATGCTAAAGGAGTTAAGAAAAAACGCAGATATAAAATGTGCACAAGAAGATAATCATATAAGTTCGAGTGCAGAAGTACCGAACACATCACAGAACTGTCCCAGACTGAGAAAGTCGAGAAAGTGTAGTGCTAAAAATAAGAAGAAAAAGAGTAAAATGTGGTCGCCCGGTATCGTGATAATAGACAATCGGAATACCCAGAGTCAGAGTAATCCGTTGAGGTTGAACTTGGATCATTTTGTGGATGCAAGGTAAAATATTTTAATTATTATTAATTTGTCCACAGCTAGACTCTTTTCACAGGCATCTTTCTTATGGGAAGATTTGCCGTGATCGTCACGCCCTGCAGGCGAGTTTGAAATCGCAGTCCCAAATGCTCCTCGTCGCTAGTCTTGGTTTTTTTTACATTTCGCACATATGGGGTATATTCCGAAACGTTTCCAGTATACTGCCGAATACAAATGACGTCATCAATTGACACTACATTGTACTGGCGTGCCGCCGCCATATTGTGTCGGATATCCGGCCATATTAAAACAATTTTAATTGTGTGTGCGCAGAATGAAGTATGCCAGAATTTGTTTTTATTTATTCAAATACAAAAATTATAGAATAATTGCTGGTATCTCCATTAGGAGGATATAATGATTTTTGGAGCACAAAATGACAAAATAATCGCCAACACTTTTCCAATATGGCGCTAATGTATGACGTTATATCTGTCTTATGTTTTGGAACGAATCACCAGTATAGCGTCGATTCATGACGTCATTTGCATTGGACAGTACACTGCGTTGTATTTTGGAACATACCCCATGAGATTGCATACCGACACCTATTGGAGGTCATGAAGTCTTTTTGGTATTTCCCATGGTCACTGACGGTACGAAACATGGATTTTTAACTCCGTCAAAACGAGGCAATTCGTGAGTGATATCACAGTTAATGTGTCTTATCACTTACCATGACATAGACTGTACCTGATGGTGAGGGATTGCTGTGGCCTATGGTATTCTGTATGACCGTGGCCTTTCCCCTGGTCGAACAGACCCATTCGTGCTGTGGGTAAATCGGTAAGTTAACTGCATACAAATGTTCGAATCGCCATAATTACACAAACACTGCAACAAGAGCTCTAAGTGAGCTCCGCAGTGCAGTTAGTCGCAGATGCCGCGTCGAGATTCGAGACAATTGTTTTTACGTTTTGCGTTTAACTGTAACGTGAACGTGACGTATAAAAATGAGATTTTTTTTATATTGCAAAATTTACTAATGAAACACCCCGTTCACAACTCTCATAAGAAGTAAATATTTTTCAGTCAAAACTTTGTAATAAACCTTATTATACCATATAAAAATATTAAATAGTTCATCATTAATTCATTACAGCCTATCAAAGTCCACTGTTGATGATCATGCTCCTCCTACAAAATGTCTCATAAGAGGTATATTTGCCAAAGTTTATGCTTGGCAAGCGGTGGTTTTATAATACTAAGAAAAAAATCGCAATTTTTTTCTTTGTATTATAAAACCACTGCTATCCATCTCTTGGTATATTTTCCTCTGTCGCTTTTTACGAGTTACCCAACGGACTGCACGGCTTCAAAAGTAGTTCGTGCAGTTTAATTTGCTTTTACAGTCAGTCAATTTTCTTCAATTAATAATTGAGTAAAAAATGATAATGAAAATAAAACACGGTTAATTAAAGTTAAAATAATAATTTATTTTTCTACATAGTCTCCTAACAAATCAATACATTTAGTCCATCTTTTTTCTAAGGATTCCAGGATTCCCTTTGAAAAAAATTCTTTGTCTTGACCCTCCCAAAACGCTTCAACAGCGGCCATTACTTCGCTATCGTCTTCGAATTTCTTGCCTCGGAGACATTCCTTGAGCCGAGGAAAGAGGTAGAAATCACTAGGAACTAGATCTGGCGAATAGGGAGGGTGTTCGAGCAGTTCGAATCCCGTTTCTTGAATGGTAGCCATCGCAACTGCGGCTTTGTGAGCCGGTGCGTTGTCTTGGTGAAACAGCACTCCAGCTCGTTTGCCGCGTCTTTTTTCCTTAATGGCCTCCCGTAATCTTCTTATTTGGTCTGCGTAGTAAGAGCCCGTAATAGTGGCTCCCTTTTCCAAATATTCCACCATAATTATGCCTTGAGCGTCCCAAAAAACAGATGCCATAACCTTTCCCGCCGAACTTGAAACTTTGAATTTCTTTGGCGTTGGTGAGGAGGCTCGCTTCCAAGTCATCGATTGTTGTTTCGTTTCAGGATCAAAATGGTGGATCCAGGTCTCGTTGCTCTCTGCTTGGAACTTTTCGAGATTGACCCTCGAAATGTCAACTCGATTTTTCTTTTGCTCGTCGGTTAACATTCTGGGTACCCAACGCGCAGAGACCTTTTTCATATGCAACTCGTTCGCAAGGATTCTTTGAACGCTGCCATATGATATCCCTGTGACGTCAGCTACATGCCTGATGGTCACTCTTCGATCTGCCAACACAACATCTTCGACTTTTTTCACGTTGTCTTCAGTGAGGGACGTGGATGGGCGTCTTTCGCGATGTTCATCTTTAGTGGATGTTCTGCCCGGTTTAAACTCCTTGGCCCAGCGTGCAACTGTAGAATATGGAGGAGCAGAGTCCCCCAATGTTTCCACTAAGTCACTGTGTATGTCTTTTGACGACATTTTTTTCAAACAGAGGTACTTGATGACAGCTCTAATTTCGTTTTTCTCCATGTTGATGTTATCTCTTTAACAGTTCGTATTCAAATGAATGTATCTCCCGGAAATCGTGATCTATTTATATGATTTTTTAGGCTGACGTAGTGAATATATAAGCGAGCAAAAAATATTTTTTTTTTGGATTTTTATGCGGACCTGAAGTAACCGATTATCATTACTTTTGGATCACCCCTCGTATCGTAATTTCGTATCAAGATCCTTATATTAGTAAATTATACTAATAATATTTATAAATACAAATTACGTTTTTATTATTAGCTGATACATAATTAATAAAATACAATGACAATCTTCTAATTTTAATAATATGGGTTTGAATTAATTGGAATAAAATAGTGTTTATTTCTAGCGGTACATCGTGTGGTGTTTCTGAATGTGCGGATGACGAGCAGATAGCGCTGGCGTTACAGGCGCAAGAGTTGGCGGCGAGGCAACAGGCACGAGGGAAATTTAAGTAAGTTTAACTTATGTTTGTCAAAATTGTTTAAAAATGAGAACACAGAACCATTGAAATAGTAATTTTACAATAAAATATAAATAAAATACTGAGATTTTTCTAATTTATATTAAAATACTGACAATCGGAAAGTAGTAGATGTGCTTTGTTATATATTATATAAATTAATTTTGAGGAAGTATGTACAAAATCATCCTTATTTATCATATTTAAAAATCTAACATTTTATTTAAAATTGAAGCGGTTATGTTTTAACTTTTAACTGTAATTTACAGAAATAACTACCAGTAATTCATGGTTTACACCACAGCAAAAAAAAACTGGCAAAAAGTTAATATTTGTAGTCACAGGACTTATAAGATCATCACGGGATGTCAGTTTTTGAATCATTATAATTTGAAAGTATACAACCAAGATTATTTTTTTAAATATTTTTCTGATAACTGTCACGAGTTGGCCTGTTGCTTGTTTCCGTCTTGACGTTGATATCTGGGACACGTGATACATTATTTTCTAACAACAAAGTTAGGTAACAATTGATCGTGGGTCTCTAGTATAGATAGAAGATGACATGAATGCTTATAGAAAGACATTTATTCTTTTACTACTTATTTGGCAAAAAATCTGTTTGAGATAGAACCAGCTCAAAACTTTATGTATTAGGCTCCAGGTCTTACCTATTCTTTTTCATTATCTTATTGGCTGCTCTAAATGTTTAAAGATTCTTGACTTTTGATAGTGCAGTCATAAATTCGGTTGCTGAACGAGGAGGTTGTAGTAAATAAATATTATATGGAAGAAATACATTTTCAGCTGCGGACATTCCACAGGTTCATGATGTATAAAAATATAGATTTTTTTAAATAGTATAAGGGTGACAAATTGCATACAGTCCACCTTATGGTAAGTGGATGCTGTGGCCTATAAAAATGTACATTCATACTCAATTAAGAATAAAAATGTAGAAGCGAATGCCTGGTTTCCAGTAAAAATGGTCTGCGGTTCTCTACCTCACCATACGAAACATAGCAGCATTACGCTGCTATTTTGTGCTGGTATTTTGTGAAAACATGGTCCTACACCCGTCCGGCCAAACCATTTGTAGTACAACAATATATAGCTGCAGCGTGGCTCTTTCACTATATGTAGATTGGTAGTGAATATAATTTTCATTTTTAAGTATTTTTGTGTGCGTTAGAGTATGTAGGATGTCTATGAGAGCTCGGTTGCGGATTATTATTATGCATTTAAAATATAGCAAATATAGAAAATATAGCAGTCAATATTTTTGAACCTTTTTCAGATCAAGTGAAGATTTGATCCACCGTCTGTTTGTATGTATTGCGGGTGTTGCGGATCAGTTGCAGACGAATTTCGCGACGGATCTTCGCAACATTTTAAAATCGGTTTTCCTCATGAATCAAACGCCTGAAGCGCCGGAAGGGGGTGAACCGCCGCCTTGCGAGCCATCGGATAAACCTTCCACCATTGAGTATGAGGCCACTGAGGATCAAGTCATACAGAATGGTAAGGATTTTCTTATTTTAACTTATTATGCTGCATAAGATTATTGAAAATTGAGCCAGGGAAACTCGGAGGCTAAGCACTCGCTGTAAAATACATAGCAACCCGGGTTCGATGCTCGCCGGCAACAAAGAAATTGCTAATAATAATTTTTAGTGCTGATTTACCATGTGCTCACTGGCGAAGGAAAACGTCGTAAGGACATAATATGGCGAAGACAGGTGAAGTCCGCCAACACCCAATGCAGGCAGTGCTCCCTAAACATGGAGGCTAGAGAACAGGAGAACGATCACTGTAGAAAATAGTGTCCAGAAATATGGACACCATAAGTGAGGCGCTGCGATCGCTCGAGGTTTGGTCCATAAAAGTCATTTTCAGTATATTTTTCCGATCAGATGCTAAACCATTTGCACATGCACAATAAAATATTTCTCCATTTTTTAATGTTTCTTTTTGTCAAAAATTACAAAATTACGGAGCATGAAAATGTTCTCATTAAAAATGAAATGAAAAGGAGACGGACGAAAGTTCATAGGAAGCTGGGCCTGATGTTACAGTAACGATTACTCCATTATCTTATTTATATACCAATACCATTTTTAAAAAACTAAAATGTTTAAGACTGCTTCATGGTAGAAAAAAAAATATAGGATGTTATTGCTTTGTATCAAAACAATGTTATTGCTTACGTTATGCTTACAATATTATTTTTACACCGAGCTCTCAGATTACACTTTAAGAAAATAATTATTAGACTTTATTGTAAACTAGACTTTACCATAATTTTAAGTATATAGTAGGAAATTCACACATAGAGGATTCAGACGCCGCCGTCCAACTAATTTCTAGAGGTTTGAACTAATTATTATAAAAAACAGAGGGAGTATGAATTAAAAACACTTTCTCTTTTAATGATTTATTAATTTTCCACTTCATCATAAACAAATAAAATAGCGTCTAAAAACAGTGCACGCCGTATTAAATTCTCTTGATGCCTTGCCCAGCTGGTATGGCACCATATCTTGACATTACATGACAACAGCAACCTACAGTTCTTTTTCCTACCAAGCAATTAATACTGTTTGTACTAATACTAAATCTGCAGTATATTTTGGTTGACAGTATTACAATACTGTCAACTAAAATATATGTAAAATATGTTTTTGAGCTGTCTGATTCGAATGTCTCATTTCATTCGACCTCGTAATAGCCAGCTAGAATGGTTGTATATTCACTGTTCTCTTAGTAGGATGCTGACCGTTTCTCGACTCACTATTTCATATCTCCCATCTTGTCGTATGTGTTCTCCATAATGGGACTAGCCTACTTAATTTGATAAATACCTAAAGATATTTTTATTAAATCACCATGCGTGAGCTGGGGAAAATCATTTAAGTTATCATTTTGCACACATATTCTTCAAGAAAATAAGCAGTCAGAATCCTTTATACGTAGCCAGAGTCATTATAGATCAGAATATTATTACAGCACACAAAAACAACAGAAAATATTCAATACCACCGCAAGCTCAGAGCCACAGAGTACTTTTTGTATACCTAAAACTCAGAGCCAAACTCTGAGTTTGAGTTTTTGAACTAACGTTGACATTTCCACTTTGTGGCCTGTATAAAACATTGATAATTGATTTATTAACCTATTTAGTCAATTTAATTTTACGACTTTTTTGAAACGTTGAAGTGTCTCACGAGGAAACCATTATTTAAATATTAAGTTTCTTAAACTTACCTAAAGAAGAAAACACTGAATCACGTTTTATTATCTTTTTTCTATTTTTGTATTAAAATAGATTAACCAACCTATTTCATCTGGCAGCATTGTTTAAAAATGAAAATAACGGAAGTCAGTATTATTTTTATTAAATATTTCATTTCTTTTGCCATGATAAACTGCTTAATATTTCATTATTAACTACAAAAAAACTGTAAAAAATATTGATAAATATTTCACTTGCAAATTCGCCCGTCTCCTTTGTACATTATTCAACTAACTTCATGTACTTGTACTCGTAAACAGCTAACTTCGCAATCACTACTCACCGACGTCAGCGCCGCTATACATTCTACAATTTTCAAGGACAGGCGGGCTATGCTTTAGCACGTAGCGATCGTTCTCCTGTTCTCTAACCTCCATGTCGCTAAAACTCAGAAATGAGAGGCTGTGTAACTACGAAAAATTCACATAACCCTCTGGGGACAATAGAGCGTTTTACCTCCTAATTATTTCTATTTTATTGTTTCTTTATTAGAAAGTGAACTCATCTAGTTTACGTGTCTTGGGCAGGCTAAGCAATATAATAAAAAAATATTTGTACTCGTTTCAGGCAGTTCATTTGACAGTGTATACTCAGCAGAGGAGGTCTATGCCGATAGCACATCGGACTCATCCCCATCGGAATCGAACTCTCGTATCGTACGTCGCAACACGCTCAACTCTGCCACTCTGACCGCTGAGCAGGCCGCCAATAATGACGTAAGGAGGAAATCTGTGGACAATACTGTCAATCTTCAAGCCTCTGTTTCTACTGGCGACCTCACTTATAGGTAAGTTTCTTCTAAATCACACTTTTGTAAGTAAAAAGTAGATAAAATTTACGTTTTAATTATTGATTAAAATAATCATCGCACATTGATGTTACATTATTAAATTATATATACAATATAGACATCCAGCAAAAATTTAACGAACGTAAAAAATAAAAGAAAATCCTGCAGTCACAACATTCTTATCTTGATCTTGAAAAAAAAGTTAGTCTAGTTTTGAATAAGGATACACATTGGGAGTACGAGATGATGATTTCGTCGTAAATTTTTCATAGGTTGTGTGACGTAGATCTGAAAATGATAGTCTCGTTCTTCGTCTCACACCCGCAAGAGTGATCAACCAATTACTGGTCTCATTTCATACATCACACCTCATTTCATACACCCCACCTCGTTGGGTTCGGGAACGACGCGGTGGGCGTGACCTCTGAGTAAGACTTTCGACTTAGAACCTTAACCACTTAAAAGAAAGGGGTTGAGGACTAAGATTACGGGTTCTTAGGGAATGGTCCCGGTCTTAATGTCAGTCATGTACCTAATGGACTGTTTTTTTTTACTTCCCTACTTTTACGTTGAACACTGAAGGATGCTTCAAATAAAACAGCAATTATTCGTAAATGCCTCTTGGAAATGCGATATTGAAATTTCGCTACTTTCCCTAATTTCTTTTTCTTCCCGAACCATTGGTCCCGAACACATTGCTTTGAACGTGTCGTGTGCACGTGCTTCATTGGACTGCAGGTTTCGGGTTTCGGGGTATCCCCCGTTACCCGGAATCTCCTCGCGGTACACGACTATGTGCCGGTCCACGGAGCCAGTCATGGCGTTGTAGGTTTATAGTAGCTAACGAGAATGTTCCTCCGTAAGACTCTAGTTGGTTTCATAGTAGCTAGCTGCTCTACTTACTACTATCCTTCTCGGGTTTCGGCAACACGATCGCTAAGCCGATTTTCCAGTCCTCCGAGAAGAGGGATGTCCGCAGTATACCGTTGTAGAGTCGACCAATCTCTACAAGTAATCTGTTGGACAGCTGTCGGAGTGTAGTGTTGGTTATCCCGTCGTGCCCCGACGCCTTCCTCGGTTTCAGACGGGTTACAGTACTCCACAGTTCAGCGGGGGAGATGAACCACTCTGCTGCAAGCGGTGGCGTAGGCGAGAACAGAAATTCCCGTACGCGGCTCACCTTCCGGGCATCAAACTCCATGTACTCTGCACTTGCTGGGTTTGGCATAAATTGCACCTTGAAGTACTCTAATAGAATATCCGCTCTACCTTTAGCCTCGTAACAACGTTCACCCGCGTTGTTGGTCAGTGGGCAGGCGGGAAACTAGTTTAACTATCGGCTCAATTTGTAAAGCGACGCATCTTGTTCTTCCGCTTTCCAGATACGCCGCTTTCAGGTTATTCTATGTTGGCCTGGATAGCAACCGACAGTTCTTCCGTTAGTTAAGTTTTGTATTCATTCTGGGGCAGCGAGTACATGTCCAGGGCTTTCTTAGCGCTCTCTTCTGATTTAGCTGCACGCGTATCTCTCGCGGCAGCTCCACTTTCTTTCCAGTTAGTGGTACGATCGTAGAGGCCTGTACGTCGTCCACTGAGTTTAATTGTGTGTGTCTACTGGAGACCTCTCTTGTAGATATTTATGGTAGAGCCTCCAGTCAATCTTGGTCGTAGAGGCTGCCCAGAGGCAGCGCAGTCACCGCCTTGAGGCCAAGGGGTAATCAATATCAGGAGGTGCTGTGTGTTCAGGTCGTACAGCACCTGTACCACTATCGGGCAGTTGACGTTCCTAGAGAGCACGATGTCCAATACATCCGGACATCTCCGTGGGTCTGTCGGAATGTGCGTAGATTCTTCGGGACCTAAAACGTCGTAGTTGTTGGTTTCCGCATCTTCGTAAAGTTCACAACCCGTCGGGTTCCCCAGGCCGGGTTTTCGGAGTTTAGGTCCTGCGCGATGATGGTAGGTGCTGTGCCTTCCATGATTGTCCGGACGAATTCCAATTCCACAAATTGAAAAATGAGCAACTTATTCACCTACCCCGGAAACTAAACAGTAAAGAAAATTGCGCGCGCAATGCCATATTGAATTAAGCCAATCGATAATTTTCACTATCACATTTCCAAATGGAAATGAAAATCCAAATGGAACATTAATCAAAAGTGCTTAAAAGCCAATAAAATGTTCATAATCTTTAATTCTTATTAAATAGTCGATTGCTATGTAATGCTTAATCTTTATTAAATTAATATAAATTTGATATTTATCTTAACAAATAATGAATGATTTAATGAGATGTTATCTCGCGTCACCAACAAGATCTGTTAAAAAAAGTAAAGTAAAGTTACAGCCTATATACGTCCCACTGCTGGGCACAGGCCTCTCATTTCGGAGAGGGTTTTAAGGCAAGGAAGTGTCAGCCGCGCTGCCCCAATGCGAGATGGCGAACTTCACATGTCTTCGAAATATTTTTTTCTTATTCCTCAGACATGCACGTTTCCTCACGATGTTTTCATTCACCGCCGAGCACGTGGTAAATCAGCACTTAAAATTGCAATTAACAATTTTATTGGTGCCGGCGGGGATCGAACCCGGGTTACTCGTGTTTTGTTATATTTACAGTGAGCTTTAACCATCTGAGCTACCACGGCTATTTATACCACTGTTAGATATTTCTAACAGTGGTATATATAGTATATATATCACTGTTAGAAAACTATTATTTAAATAGCTTGCCGCATAAATATCTACTTAATATGATATTTAAACTTTATATTTACAGGCGCGAAGAGAATCATTCCGCCTCGCCGTGTATAGAGCGGGCGCCGGAATGGGTGCCTGACATAGCGGCGCCATCTTGTATGAGATGCTCCGCTCACTTCACGGCGTTCCGACGTCGACATCATTGTAGAAATTGCGGTTAGTATTCCGACTCTGACAGAGATACACAACATTTCGCAGACGCTTTTACTGAAAACGAGGTATTTCATCTTAGTCATGGAGTATAGAGGGAAGGAGGACAATCTCCCATAGGAGAATAGTTGAAAATGTGTCCATCTGTAAGCAGTAAATAACAGTTCAAAAACTCTCCACAACAGCGCTCGAGTAGCTACTGGGTATGATAAATCGCCGTAAAATACGTTGAGAGTGATTTTGAAAATAAAAATTTTGAAAGCAATAAAGTAATTATTGTGAAAAGAATCATATTGAAAGTCTGTGCAATAATAAAATTATAAAAAGTTCTTTAAAATTTACAGTGTAAATTATAAAAAGTTCAGTGTAAATTTTAAAGAACTTTTTATAATTTTATTACAAAAAGTGGCGCCACCCTTATTTAGCGCTTAGCGCTTTCCTACAGACACTTTTTTATACAGAGTCTGTAATTCTTACCTCTACACTCCATGATCTTAGTCCTCACGGGTGACTACGCATCTGCATTTTGATTTGTGTCGAATCGAGGATAGATTGTAGATGTTTATGGTCCATAGTAACCACTTAACCATCAGGTGAACTGTGTGCTCGTTTGACACCTTTATCATATAAAAAGGCAGCGCCGCGAATACTTCCCTGCTCTAAAACCCTGCATACTTTTAAAACAAGAATACATACCAACCCTCCCTAGTTGGTATGTATTATTGTTTTGTACAGGTAAGTACCATATCAACGAATACAAACGTGTCCACTCCGAAAGCAGCATTTTTGTGCATATGTATTATGGTCAATTTTTCAATGCGCTATTTTATAAATAAATAAAAAACAAGAAATAAAAAATTCTATTTTAATCGTATAGTAATGTCTAATTGTTCATTAATTTCAAGTACGTCGTGTAGGATGTGCAGAAAAAATATATTTAGAAAAGAAATATTTATGTTAAGTAATTATGATGATAATCGCATTTAGATGTGTGATTGCCATTTGTACGTCTATTAAGTAGCAGTGGTATTGTATATATGAGAGGTTGAGGTAATTGTAATGAGATATCAGTTACAAACGGAATTGCATATTTACTTAAAATTTTGGTCATCAGGTAAAGTGTTCTGTGCGTCGTGCAGTTCGAATTCGATCCCGCTACCCCGCTACGGGCAGCTGAAGCCGGTGCGCGTGTGCGACGAGTGCTTCCAGTGCCGGCGCCCGCACCAGCGGTGAAGCCACGTCCATTGTCCGTACCTCACACACACACACACGGTCGGGTTACTACAATATCCTCTATCGTTTTGTAAACACTACACGTTGGGTGCGCTTGGCAGGAAAAAGCGCTAGCAAGCGCTTCTAAGCAAAATGGCGATCGTAAGCGGTAAAGACCGATTTACACTTCGACTAGTACAGTAGCGAGTTAACTTGCGAACCTGGCGAGTTAAGTTTGAACCTCGTTTGAACGGCAATAAGCGAGTTAAGTAGCCAGTTAACGATTAAGTTGAACGGGATAGCCGGCCGAGCTATTTTCCGGCGAGTTAAGTGCGAAGTGCTGCCCTCCCACGCGTTTCTCGTCACCCACAACTAAACTGTTCGTGTAAACGGGCGAGTTTAGTTCAGTGCATAAGTTGACAGGACGCAACGTTTGCGCGCCAAAACGTACAAAAAATTGTACTTTTATAATTAAACTCGCCACAAAGTTTGTACGATACTGTTTATTGTATAAAAATACTTTTGATATTGAGTTTTAATAATAAAATGGACGGAAGATATCACGTATAAATTTGTACAGGAGTATTTAGAACACGAATGTTTATATAATAGTAGAAGTTCAAATTGTAAAATTAACTCGAGATGCTGCACTCATGAAAATTCTTAAAACCTTTAACAACAACCATTAATACTTCTCTGACTGGATCATTTAACTCTTGACGTAATCCTAGAACCATCTTAAACGAAAACCAGAATAATTCTGTAGTCTTGAAACGTCATACTCCGACGAACTCTACGAACTAATGTCCTTAACTAAACTCGCCACGAAGACATCGTTTGAACGCTACTGCCCACTTAACCGTTTACTGTGAACTGCCCTGAACTCGCTACTTTACTTGTCGAAGTGTAAATCGGTCTTTAGCGCTGTCAAATCGTAAGTAGCTATTTTACTCTAGGACACGAAGGTAGGTTTAACTGGGGAACCTAACCTAATTTAAATATATGTTTGTAAAGTATTTATATTAAAAATTTACCAATCATAAATTTTAATAACATGTATAATATGTTTATTCATGTCATTATATTACTTAGAACTAATATTGCACAAAACAACTTATAAACTCTACTTCAAAACAAACAAATTAAATAAGCAAAATGGCGGATTGTGTCAGCTCTACTGACGTTAGCAAACGTGTCCTGGCAGAAAACTGTTTAGTTTCGCCATTTTGCTTACAAGCGCTTGCTAGCGCTTTTTTCTGCCAAACGCACCCGTTGTTTAAAACTTACAGATACTTTTGAGCGACTTCAAAAGAGTAGGTTGTCAATTGTACTATATGTAACACAACATTTTGAGTGTACTTTCACAGTGGTCCTCTCAACAAATCTAATGGTAATTGAAGTCTGTCATATTTTAAAAAAAAATCTAACCATTTTGTGATTGGATAAATTATTTTTAGAATAACTAATAACAAAAACTTATTTACTACATTTTATTACTGTGAAAAAAAAATAACGTAATCGTTTTGGTCATAAAAAGTATAGTTGATTATTCTAAGGGTAATTGTGAAAAAATTAAAATTAGGTTATTTTTTGTATCATCTGTATATGATTTAACTTTAAGAAACTAATTACATCGGTTTATCACACACGTTTTAACGTCACGTGTTAGTGTTCTTTGTTCTCTAAAACGATTCCGGATATTCAAAGTAATAAAAAAGAATATCCGCCATATATATTATATGTTTTGACATTTTCCAAACAAATAATTATACTATAATATTTGTTTGAAAAATGGCTTGCGAAACAATTCGTACCTGAAAGTGGTGTGCGAAATTATTAGATAATTCAAAATATACGTTAACTTAGAAAAATATTTTAAAATCCAATTCGAGTTTTATCTGTGCTTAACGGCGCAATTCTACTCAGTACTCTACGGTTAATGAGTACGGTTAATACTCATTAACCGTACGTTACATCGTGCAAACATACATCAAACAAAATTGGACTATATTTTACTCTTAATAAATGCCATTTTGATCATCGTCCGTATTAGAGTAGCTTGTAACTCTTCTCTCATTTAAAGTTGTGTTATTCTTGTGATATTTGACGTTAGTCCAAGAACTTTATCTTTTAAAACTAACCCCATATTGTTGACTATAAACTATAATTAGAACTATTAACATTTTTCCGCATCGACTGATATTAAGAGGTTCGTTTATGTTTTACAGTTACTAGCGGTAGCTCTCTAGTTAATGCTGCTTTGTTTGTAATAAAGTTTTTTTTAAAGAATTCAAAAAACGTGTAATGATTTTAACTCTTTCTATTCTACTATCGCATAAAATACATCACATTAGAAATGTTCAAATTTTAAAATTTGCTCATATAAGTAAAAACAGTTTCGTTACAATCCCAGGTATTATTTGTACTTTCTTTGGTCAAATAAAGTCCTGATATCTTAAGCATAAGCTATATATTTGATATAATAAGAGTATCTTTAGCAAGTGCAGCAAAAAGTGATAAGTTTATTTATTGTTTAATCTTAGGGAATTAATGAAGATTAAAGAGTTGTTAAGGACTTATACAAACAAACAATTATAATGTGATACATGTTTTATCAAATTATTTTATCAAAAATGTTGCTATTTTAGTTTTTTATTTCTTAACTTTTGCTATTCGCCTTGTGTATTGGTCGTCACTTTTTTGCTGCCTTCGGTTCTTATAGGAAATATTAAACAAAAACTTTTTTAATGTTTTGTAAATTGTTTACACTGCCTGTATTGACAATATATTATTTTATGTCTTTGTGTATTATGCTCATATATTTATATTCAGTTTTCTGTTTAAATTTACTATTGTCATAAATCATAATATAAAAAGTTTGTGTCATATTTGCAAAGCTGGGCTATTACGAATAGTCTGTTAAAGAGAAATGAACGAAGTATGGCAGAAGCTTAAAATTAGTTAATTTAAACGATAAAAATATTATAAGCGTTATCGAACCATGAACGCAAGTGATCTCTTTGCGAAATAAAAAAAACTGAATATCTAAGTAATAAAAGAAATCTATTTTTAAGAATAAAATTTAAAGGATGTTTATATTTTTAACATAAAGTTCTAATGTTAGGTACCATTAAACTAAATTTAAAAAAATACTTTTTGAATGATTCCATTATTATCTGTTTTATAATCGGAGGTGTTAGTTGTTAGGTATTTTTATCGTAAGACTAAAGTTATTAATATGGATTGTATGTAAATTTTGTAAAGGTTAATATTAGTGCATATATACCCACATAATTATTAGTATTCAATGAGAAACTGTTTCATAGCTTTTTGTATATTATATAAAAAGTAAATATTACTGATCGCATACTAACTTTTTTCGTGACCACAAATGTCTGAGTGATATGTTACTGTTATATATTTTAATCGTATAAAGAAAACGTCGGATAATAAGAACAATAGCAGTTTTAATTACCTAACCCTTCCTTATGAGCCTGTCATCATCATCATCATCATCATCACAGCCCTTCACAAGTCCACTGCTGAACATAGGCCTCCCCCAAGTAATGCCACAAAGCACGGCCCTGAGCCACCTGCATCCATCGACTTCCTGCATATCTTACCAGGTCGTCACTCCATCTAGTGGGGGGTCGCCCTACACTACGCCTACCGGTACGAGGCTGCCACTCGAGAACCTTTCTTCCCCATCGGTTATCTGTTCTTCGAGCTATATGGCCGGCCCATTGCCACTTCAGCTTAATAATCCGTTGGGCTATGTCGGTCACTCTGGTTTTACTGCGGATATCCTCATTTCTGAGTCTATCACGCAGAGAAACTCCGAGCATAGCCCTCTCCATAGCTCGCTGAGCGACCTTGAGCGTCCTCATACGGCCAGCAGTGAAGGACCACGTCTCTGATCCGTAAGTCATCACTGGCAACACGCACTGGTTGTACACTTTAGTTTTCAGAGATTGGGGTATACCTGACGAGAAGATGTGTCGTAATTTCCCGAACGCTGCCCAGCCGAGTTGAATCCGTCGATTGACCTCTCGGTCGAAGTTGGACTTACCTAGTCGGACTATTTGTCCCAGGTAAACGTACTCGTCAACAACTTCGAGCATAGTGCTCCCAACAACTACTGGCATAGGTGTGACATGGACATTAAACATGATCTTTGTTTTGTCCATGTTCATCTTAAGACCTATCCGTTGGGAGGCACCATTGAGGTCATTGAGCATAGTGCTTAAGTCCTCCAGCGATTCTGCCATAAGGACTATTATATCGTCGGCAAATCGAAGGTGAGTGATGTACTCGCCATTGATGTTAATACCGTATCCTTTAAAGTCCAGTAGCTTGAAAACGTCTTCTAAAGCAGCGGTGAAGAGTTTCGGGGATATAACGTCACCCTGTCTTACACCTCTCTGCAGTTGGATTGGTTTCGAGCTCTGGTTCCGTACTCGGATAGCCATCGTAGCCCTACTGTACAAACACTTCAGCACTTCGATATACCGACAGTCAACTTGGCACCGCTGAAGGGACTGCAGCACCGCCCAAATATCGACGGAATCAAAGGCTTTCTCATAGTCCACATACGCCAGGCAAAGTGGCAAATTGTACTCCTTCAGTCTTCTGTACAATCTGCCGCAGGGTATGTATGTGGTCTATGGTACTGAAGCCATTTCGGAAACCGGCTTGTTCGGGAGGCTGGAAGTCGTCGAGTCTGCGTGCGAGACGATTCGTAATGACTCTCGAAAACAGCACGTAGACGCGGCTCAGAAGGGAAATCGGTCTGTAGTTCTTCAAGAGAGCGTTGTCGCCTTTCTTAAAGAACAAGACCACCGCGCTTCTGCTCCACGCCTCTGGAGTAGTGCCACCATGGAGGACGGAATTGAAGAGCTTCTGAAGGACTTCAAGTACCGGTGTTCCACCCGCTTTCAATGTGAATCGTGAATCGGAATGTGAGCCGAGCGCTATCAGCGATTTTGGCGTGAATCGGATCTATTATTAGTCATCTGTGGTTG